GCTGTAGAATGCGGAGAAAATCATACGGCCGGGCTATACGAAGCGATAAAAAAGTATGCAGCCGGGCTATAGTTCCTATCGTCGGGCTTTACACTTTATCGCCTGGCTGTTGCTTTCTCGCCATCGGCTGTAAAAGGCTATAAGAAATCGTGTAGAAATTCTTGTGCTTTGGAAATCATTAAGTTTGATACGGAACCACCTTAATATTTACAAAACACACGTTATATTTTCCTTTAATACATATTTTTTTTTCATAAATTAAAACGAGAATAATCCATACAGGATGTGCAAACATTTCAAAATCATTAGTTGAATAACGCTGACTCTGCCAGATTAAACATTAGAGCCTAACACAAAGCGGAGCGGCGACGCACTGGCGCCTGCAAACCTAACTGGGATACTTCACGCATTGCGCAACGCGTGAAGTATCCCTGTTAGGTTTGTAGGCGCCAATGCGCGTTTCGCGCTGGCTGCCCGCCTGCCGCACTGAAGCGTGCCACGGCGCTTGATGCAACTATTTCACACCAGAGGTATTGCACAGTATCATACGAAACTGAAGGCGCTCTAATATATTAGGAATGGCAGGCATCCATCAAAAGTGCGGAGCTTTCCTCGCAAAATAAATCAAGATGCTACGGCCCAAAAAGAGAGCAGTGGTCCAAAAACTCACTAAGTCCTAGCATCCGTAATTAGTGACGTTCAGCATACACTTTATCGCCTGGCTATGAGTTGCTTAATCGCCATCGGCTATAAAAGGTTATAAGAAATTGTATAGCCGGCTACAGAAGATATTGGAAATCTTACAGCCGGTCGTAGGTCTATGGTATTTTGGATCACAGATTATACTGCCAATTTTTACCAGGGTATGGCAATGCCGTGAGAGCAAAAATTAATACGTTTTAAATCAGGTGAGCTCTTTTTAGATTTTTCATAACCTCACAATCGAGTAATCGATTAATCGACGTATGAAACTTTGAACGCGTATAAAAACTGTTTCTTCATTAATAATCACCCAATAGTTAAATGAGATTCGCTTGAAATGAGCTCGGAATTTGGAAAATTGCTCATTGCAACTGTTCGTTCGTCCAGAGGTATTTTAACAGAAACGGACCATTTGAAGTATGCTATGGATCGCGATATTTTTGCTTCGATCAAACGGGTGGACCAAGGACCATAGATCTTTAGAGTAGTGAATTGATCGGAAGAAGCGATCGTGTTTACGCATTAAATCGCTTAAAAGTTGAAAAAAATGTCTATCGGGCGAGATAAGCTGATCTTGATGTATTTTTAGGTGCATAACCCGAAAATTAACTCCGATTTTTCCACCACCCTCCAGTTTTCGGGAAAGCCGATTTTACTCAGACAAATGGCCATTTTTGCGCATTGTTGGAGTTTTTCCGACTATCACCCCCTGCAGAATGTAGGTGAAAGTTTCCAGACTTTTCCAATGTATTTTGAGCCACCGAGTCCGAAAATGACCTTCATTTATCCCGATAACATTTGGTAATTATTGAGATCAAAAGGGACACAAGTAACGAGGGTTTGACACAATTTATAAGTAAATAAACACGATATTATGCCTTGAGGAAGTTTCATCAGAACTCATGAGAAATTGACTAGTACTCAATGAAAAGACACGCGCTCAATGTTGCCAACGATTTCCTTTAAGGATACCAAGTCCATTCTATCACTAATCATTCTTCAGAGTTTAAGTTAAAATAGTTTTCACGTCGATCAGATTGAATATTAATTAGCTGGCATTGGATTAAAGGAGCCGATCATAGAGTACGAGAGGAAAAATTGTGTTGTTTACACACCATCGGGGGGTTGAACTTTTATTCTCAACAACGGCATCAACTCATTAGTAGGAGGAGAATAGAAAATAAAACTTAGCAAGAACCAGAGGCTCGGTCCAAAAAAGTGTTGGCCCAATAAAGTTGAAATTGCGAGGATTTGAACAGACGCCATTTTGAAATGGTGACAGATCCGTGCGAATGGGACAAAAATCACGCAGTTTTTAGGTTTTCCAGGAGATGAATCACAAGTGGCGCGGCACTATTTGAAAAATCCGAGGGCCGGTTCCCTCTCTCAGATAATAACCCAAAAACTTTGAGGAGAACTAAATGTACTTTCCATCAAGGTTCGCTCCCCTTTCAAGTCCCTGAGTGAATTTGTTCAAATATTACACGAGTGAATTTTGCAAGTATTTTTGATCACACCGTAAAAACACAGCGTTTTAAGAGCTTGCCTCCGGAATAGCATTTTTTATTATGAATTTTTTATGATTTTTTATCTTGAAGCCGACTCATTGGATTAAATGCATGACGATATCCTCTTAGGGAGATGACTTTCCTGGACTTTTTTCTGATTTGGTCGTCTCCGAACACGCTTTGAAAAACCTACTCCCGCGGGCTTTCGGAAAAAATGTCGATGAGCACCCTTTTAGCGGTCGTCCTTCACTTGTTTCATTATTTTATCAGATTCTATTGTGAGATTCTCGCCGGTAAAGTGGATATTTCGAGCCTCGGTGCTCATTAAACCAGTGGCGTGGCGTGGATTGCGATATATCGATTTATATGCCATTTAAACCTATGGAAAAGGATCGATAAATAGGGTGTTCGCAGCGAACCCCTTAATAATCGATTCTATACCATAGGTTTAGATGACATAACAATCGATACATCGCAATTCACGCCACGCCACTGCATTAAACCCATCGCAGATTTTTTATCCGCATAGTGAAGCCTGTGTTTTTAGACGCGCGCTGCTTGCCCAGTGAATCAAGTCAATCAGAGGGGTCGGACATTAAATTTTAGACTAAAACTGCAAATTTTGATGTTTATTTTGTCACATTTTAAATTTTAAGGGGGGCCTTCAGAAGGAAGTTTCACGAGGATATCAATGGAACCTCTTTTTTAGAACCTCAAAATTGAGGAGCTTTCCGGGAAAAGGGCTCATAGCAAAAAATAGCGTTTGAGAAAAATGCATTTTAAGTTTCCATGATTAATTTCTGGACACTGATGGTACCTTTCATCGCAGCATGAACTCCCGATTTCGGACGAAAGTTACTGCCAGTGGCCATGGAGTAATGATCAAAACTTCAAATGCATTTCTCTCAAACGCAATTTTTTGCTATGTGCCCTTTTTCCGGAAAGCTCCTCAATTGTGTATGAAATCCACTGTGCGCTGTTCGTCAGTAACTTCAGACATTCAAGGACGAGTCCGTTTGAAAAGGTCAATGAGCCACACAATTTTAAGGAAAAGTTGAGGAAAATTCCGAACAGAGTTTAACTCAACTTCACCATTCAACGTCCGCGTTTCGACCGAGTGAAAATTCCAAAAACGCGGAGACAGATGGACTGAGTTTTGACAGCTGAAGCCGTGCTTTATCAAGTTGAAAACAAGAGGGAAAAGTGGAAGTTTTACTGATCCATAAAATTTGGTAAAAAAGTGAATTTTGACTTTTTTTTACTTCTAGGGACGTATTCTGCCGTGCTAAGGAAGAACATTCGAGAGTTGCCAATTTTCCCCTTGGTGGAACGTGTATTTTGGACGCAATTTAAGCATATTTTCCTTGCAATTTTCAGATATTTTAGATTAAAGTGTGTACAAAGTTGTCTGGAAATTTTGGGGAGCAATATTTACAATTTTCTTAGTAGATTCGGTTTTTATCGAAGGAAATCGGGAACGTCGAAGGCTCATACGGCATTTTTCCTTAGCACAGCAGCATTCATAGTTGTTCCTCAAACAGCTCTAATCTTCAAGATAATCCTATGTGGTTTCCACTGTTATTAACGAAAGCTTAGGGGGGCATTACCATTGCACCATAATGAGAACAATTTGACCAAATCTGGAGTAAAATCCAAGGACATAACTTTGGAAATAGATCCTTGCATTAGACTGAAGTAATCGACTAAATTTTGCAAAATCCGCGTCTTGTTTCCACTGCAGTTTTTAATTTATGTAGAGACGAATCATTTTCATCCCTCCGTAAGATTTTCGCATAAAATTATTATAGTCTTCAATTTTACTCCAGGTTCAAAAATATCGGCCGTTGTATGATACCATGTTGAAGGGTTCCTCAAATCTCACGTCCTCACGATGAAAACCATATACGGACTCTATAAAGAAAGGAGCTGTTTAAGGAGCGACCATGAATAAGGTCTTAAAGATTTTTTTCTGAATTGAGGCCTTTATGCTGAAATTAACACCTATCAGCATATCTATAACGGTATCTATAAATGGGAGAGTTGGCGTCATGGTCTGCTCGACGAGTTCCGAGCCCGGTGTGCGCCGAGCTTCGGTCACTTTTTCGATACATGTTCGATCTAAAATGGCGGTGTGGAATACGTGGTAATTCCTGTCTTCTTTGTGTACATCGGATGGTCGGGTACCCGTGTATCGAAAACAATCGATCGGGTTTCGAAAAAGTGACCCGGCGTCACCTAGGAGTCTCGTAATTTGGGACCTGGAAAATGCTTAAAAGTAGCGCCAGCTCTCCCACTTGCATTACGACTTTATATACTCTATAGTTTCTCCCCCCCCCCCCCAATCCGTCGTCGAAATCATAGTAGCCTTAAGTGTTGCTGAAAGTGATAGAAGGTCAATCTATAAAGTTCAATGCTATAAAGTCAATCGGAATAAATGGAACAACCTCCCATTTGTGTATCAGGGTTTTTTTCCGCTCATTGACGCATTTACGTATTGTACCAGCGCCATGGCTTGTTACATAGTGCTACAGGACATTGTGTGACAGTTCCTTGGTGAAAAAATCAAAATACGTTTGCGTAGCTCTTAAGTGATCAGCATTGAAAACTAATGACATTTGGGTTGTTTTTAAATACCATTTGTTTTTCACAACTTGTCCACAGCCACTTGTCCTTAAAATCTGTCGGTCTTCTATGCTGCCGTGCTAAGATAGAACGCCGTATGAACATTCGAGAGTTGTCAAATTTCCTTCAATAAAACGTTTGTTTTGGGGGAAAGTTATGAATATTTTTCCTTGAAATTTTCAGGAACTTTCGGTAGAATTACAAACAAAATTGCCCAAAAAATTGGAAGATAAAAATTTATAAGTTTACCAGGAAATTCGTATTTCACCAAAGGAAATTTGGCAACGCCTGGTGGTTCATACGGCGTTTTTTCTTAGCAAGGCAGTATGGTGTAGTGATTGTAACGCTAGCTGTATGATTGGGAGGTCCCGGGTGCGATTCCTGGCCAGGCGATCCGAGTTTAATGGTCTCATCAATGATTGCCTGGGACTGATTTTTCAGTATGGACGGAGGGGGAACGGGACTAAAGCTTTGGGGTCACCCAATAAGATAGTTGAAGTGGTTAAATAAAAAGAAGAAGAAGAAGAAGAAAAGAAATGGCGTGGGCCCAGCATCATTTCACCACCTTGTTGTTCTTAAACTAAGCCAGAAATAGAAGTCGCAGTTTGAAAAATGAAGGTCAATTTCTTCTCTTGATTTCAGATGATGAAAACCGACGAACTGATTTTCGTACCGACCCTAATTGTCGACACCTTCTTCGTCGTTTCAGGTTTCCTTACGTTCGTCATCTGCTACGAACCGCTGAAAAAATATGGACTGAAAATATTTCCACTCATGGTGTTCGACAGATGGCTTAGGTAAATATTTTCATGTTCTTGCATGAAAGCTACAAAGCAAAAAGGATCCATCAATATGCAGGGCTTTTTGAAAAAAAAATAAAGATATGATAGGTAATGTCCTACTGGGCAAAATCTCAATAGAGGTTTATCCGAAATTTCATTAAAATTTTACAAGAGTGTGAGAACAAATTCGAAAAATTGGATAAAATTAGATTTTTTTCTGTAGAAAAAGAGGGAAAGAGAGAAAAATATTAGTTTGACATAATATCAAGCAGAGTATATCGTTCGGCGATGATTAAGTTTTGCGAGAACACATCATACTTTTTTTTCAATTTAGTAATTTATTTTCTCGCCTCACTGAAGTCCCTCAATGTTGACAGGTCCATGTTAGAAAAAAGTGAATTGAAATTTTGAAGGGAAAAGGAGAAATTAAGTATACCCTAGGTGGCCCGAATGGGATATGTTTTTTTTTTAAAAAAAAAACGTAGACAACCTGAGTTCAAAGACATCCTAAAAAACATCGACTTTTTAGATATGGTACAGCTTATTTTTTTTCAATTTACTAATCCATCTCTCATGTCATAATCTTTCATTTTCCCTGAAGGTTGATGCCGGCGTATGTGACATTCATCGCTATGACGATATTCATATTCCCGTACATGAGTAGTGGACCGGCATGGAAATTTATCACCGAGCCAATAGCCGATAGTTGTCGGAGAGAATGGTGGATCAATCTCCTGGGGGTCAATAATCAAGTCACGCCGGTGGAGCCATTTGTAAGCAAAGAAACTCTTACACTGAAAAAAAAATCTCGGTGTGTTTATTAAGAAAAGGGTAAAATTACCAAGAATTCAGGGTTCTTTTGATCCCAATTTTTTCTTGGTAAAATTACCATTTATGGAAATGGAAATTTTACCGAGAAATCTCGGTAAAATTATTGAACTTTCTCGGTAATTTTACTGGACCTTGGTAAAAACGCCAATATTTTTTATCGACTGTGGTAGAATTACCGAGATAAAATGGCAAAGTTACCGGGAATTGATTACCAATAAAAGTGGTATTCTTACATGAAAAAAACATTAAAAATACCGGTTTCTAGGTAAGCTTACCAGTCTGTCTTGATAAAATTACCAATAATTGGTAAAAAAAAATGAGATGGTAAAGGTACCAACGGACCTTGGTAAAAACGCCGGGAATTTTTTTCAGTGTACAGCACTATTTGTCAGCATACAGGAATCGCTTTGGACACTCTAACGTCTCAAATTCTCATTTCCGATTGTAATATCTAAAGATCTACCGCAAGTTGATGTTGTTGAAAGCTCTCTACGTGTAATCGTCTCTAAATGAACCTCTTTTCAAGATACCGCAAATGATGCCTCAACATCAAAATGTGCAAAAGTTGGAATGCATTCAAAAGTTGACTATCTGCGTAGATACTTTAAAAAAACTGCTTTCACCTTATTCGACGGTTAATGAGTGCGTACTTCGGAGGAAAACTGTCACAGGGAATTATTCCAGAAATATTTTGCTGCATGCGTTGTTCGAAAATTTCCCTTTGATTCTGCAGAGCCGGTTTCTTTTGAAACCTCGATTTTTTATAAGTCTGGGAACTGCCATTACGTTGTAGCTTCGTATTAACAGATTTCCCGATGTACTTTCATCAATTTCATCCATTTACGTAGGTACGCTAAAATCGTGACTCGTTACTCTGATTTCCATGTCAGCCAACGTGCGAGTGGCTGAAAGCCAGTGCACTGATGGACCTAATGATAAAGGCGTGCCAACCATAACCATTACCTCGAGTAAGTTGGAGACAAAGGCATGGAAATGACATTTGACAGAGTAGAAAAGCTGCAGCTTTTCTGACTGGGTTTTTTTACCGATTTTGACCGGCCAGTCGAGTATTGGACGAGTAAAAACTAAAATTTCAACGCACTTCATCTTTTCAATCCGTCTTTAGTTGTTTTTCATTGTCTCTTAAAAATCTTGGAAAAAAATTACAATTTTGCCCCCTTTCTGCGAACCTAAAATTTCTATCGACGAACGGCAGAAATGAAACCTTAGGATAACACAAGACTTACGTCTTATACTTAAACATAACACTTAAATAGTATTATTAGATATTAATGAATTTAAAGTAACCAAGAAAAATAATAAAACTAAGCAAATAGTAAGGTATATATGATTTATAAAAAAAAATTAAACTTACTGAAAAAAGTTATATTTATAAAACAAGTATTACAACAAATAAGGAAGCATTAATTTGAGTTCGAGACTGGTTTTGAAGCTTAAATATTGAGATTTTCTTATATTCACCTTCGGAATGGAGTTCTAAACAAACTGCTTTGATGGATATTTTTGTCGAAAATTACACTCTGTAATTTATTATCAAAATCATTAAAGAATTTTTCTCAATCGGTTTTGTTCACATTTAGTCAGAGGAGCCCCGCAGGAAGCCTAAATGTGATGAACCAATCAGAGAGCAGCATAGACATGGCAAAACTTTTCCTACATATAGGTACTCGAGAACCCCTAGCAATCAATAATCAATTATAGTAAGCGAATTTTCGCGATCGAATGTCATTCATCAAACGAATTGATCAGTGCTGAGTGATGCCGATGATCGGTGATGTCAGGAGCCAATCAGAGCTCAGATTTTTTTCCTAAATGAAATTCAGAAGAAAATAAGAAAACACGCAACACTAAAACACAGAAATTGCGAAAACAGCAGACTTGAATTAACAAAACACAACAACAGAAAGAGATGACAGAACAAACATTTTGGTGGAGGGATGAAGTTGCTGACATCGACTGCATCAATTCAAAAATCGAATTCAAGTCCCGAGGTGAATTCGAAATTTCAAATTGATGGATTCCAACGGTCTCTGGTGAGACCAACGAAGAAGTCGAATATCATTGAAAAGAAATGCACAATCGTCGAATATCAATCAACGGTGAATGATATTCGATCGCGAAAATTCGCTTAATGATCTAATCTGTTTTTCCTGACAGGATTTTGTCCCACCCTGTGGTCCGCATACATGGTACCTCGCGTGTGACCTTCAGCTCTTTCCTGTTGGTCTTCTCATTGTATACATGTTCACCAGGAATCATTCATCTGGTCTCAGATTCGGCCTGGCTGCCCTTGCGATGACCGTGGCCATCCCTTTTTACGTCATCTACAAGAACCGCTACGATGCCGTTGGAATCGCTGATCCAAGGTCTGGTATACCTCTGGTAATATATCCAACATACACGGAAAAAAATGGGGTAGTCGACACAACCAGCGGCTAGTTAAAAACGCGCCAGCTCCCGTGCAGTAGTTACGATGACTACCACGGTGGAGGTCACAACTAACCCGGTAGTTACATTAACAACCATGAATGTTGATGTAACTACCGAGTTAGTTGTGGCCTCCACCGCGGTAGTTATCGTAACTACCGCACGGTAGCTGGCGCATTTTTAACTAGCCGCTGGTTGTGTCAACTAGGCACTCTATTTTTTTTCCGTGTACAGTGTGTTTCAGGGTAAAAGGGGAGCTTTCTGTTCGTTAAAGTAGAGTCTCTTTGTAGAGAGAGTTGAGACAAAGCGGCTTGTGGATGTCACAAACGGGAATATAGGTTACACACATCGGACGATTGCTGTAATCTTTGATCAACCCATTCCCGAATTCTTGTCTCGTTCCCGCTCTAATTTCATTTGTTCCTTGCCTTACCTCCTATTCCCCGGTCCACTCCGGTTTATAATCTTTGCAATCGGTGAAAATGTGATCTCCATTCCCGTTTGTGATACTGAGAAGGCCGTAAATACGGGAACCAATCAGAAATGGATTCTCATTGTCTTTACTCTCAGTATAAAGGGACTCTAGGTTAAAGCAGTAAAGCAATAGTTTCATTGTTTTCCAAAGAAGCCCCCAGTTGGAGCAGCGCCCCCTCGCCGATCCAAGAAATATTTGGTTTCTCCTGGATTTTGGCGACATTTATGGGTCAAAGATCATAAAGATGGCTGAACTAAGCAGACATGGCCTCAAAAGTATAGGTACCTAATGTCTCAAGTTAAAAAGGGATATTTCGGGGTCTGGGATCATTCAGGGTGAACGTCTCAGTTCCCCCCTCATTGGACTCACTGGAATCCCTGTTATTTGTATATAGCAAAATGTTTTTACTCATAAACCTAAGCAAGTTCTGTTTTGAGTTTTAGCGACTTGTGAATTCCATTCTGTTTTGAGTTTTAGCGACTTGTGAATTCCATCGAAGTGATTTATGGTATAATGCGATAAATTGAACTAGCTATTCTATAAGGAACTAGAGACGGGTGGGAAAGATGGGATGTGCTCGTAAAAGGTGCAAAAGAAACAATGTAAAAACGGGCGTGATTCTTTTCGGCAAAATGTAGGAATTCACATTAAATTAAGAGGAATTAAGCGTCAAAGCACGCTAACTCATGATCCGTGGGCATGTGGAAAGAGCGTTGTGGACAGCGCTCATAAGTCCCGCCATCGATCTCCTAGACCTCGCCGCACAGCAGATCGAGTCAATCAGAGAGGTTGAACTTACGATTCCTAACTTAAAATGCAAATTTTGATGTTTAAATCGTCACATTTTAAAGTTTAAGGAATGCGTGTGGAAGAAGATTTCGCGAGGAAACCGATGAAATTGCTTTTGAAATCTCAAAGTTTTATATAAACGGAGTTATGAGCTTTTAAAGTTTCCAAATTTTGTTTGAATTCCCCTAATGAGTCGATCCATTGTGCGTCGTCAACCTTGACGTCACTGATGATCTAAAGTTTACTCTTACGGCCGTCAACTAACAAGCACGCTCCGCCTTTTTCACCCGTCTCTGGTTTCCATTAGCATAAATACGTCCAATTAGACGTATTTGTATCAAACGGAACCATGTGCATTAAGACATGAGCCCTGAGACCCATAAGAACAGGGCCGGATTTACCTACATGCCGCCCATGGGCCTCCTTTATTTTGCCGCCCCCCCCCCTCATTCGTTTTGAAACATCAATAAAAACCATCAAGTGAACGTGCCGGAAGGGGAGGCGTGCATAAGACGCGTTTACCTACTTGTGTTGGAACATTTTTTTGCGAAAGCCCTGTCAACACTACTAGCAAAATTTCACGGAACTTGATGCGAAAGTTAAGTTCCGTAAACCTGCCTTTGTGTGGACAAGATCCTCCATTCATAAGAATTGAACCAAAAAATTATGAAAGAACAAACATAAATGTGGTTTCACGCCATGCGCTCCTGACCGCGCTGACTGCACTGTTTGGCGCAATGGGTGAAGTATCCATGCAGTCTTGTAGGCGCTAGTAGGTGTTTCATGCCAACCGCCGCGCCGGGGGCTTGTCCTTTTCATCTCAAGTCCTTGTCATCATTTCTCTCTGCGCTGAGCTACAGGCAAAATTGCGTGTTAGATCATCTCTTAACTTGACTAGTTAAAGATGCTGTCTCTTGTATCACCGAAAAACGACAAAATTAGAAATTACTAACTCTCAGGAAAAAGAGGTTTTATTTCCTTTTCTTATTGATAATTTTTTTTTTCTGAATCCGATTTTTTTTATACCTACATTTAAAAAAATGCAAAATTTGCCGCCATGGGCCGCGGCCCATGTGACCATCCCCTTAATCCGGCCTTGCATACGAATACATGCGTAACAGGGCTCACGTCATAATGCACATAGTTCCGTTTGATAGAAATACGTTCAATCGTGTGTAAGATTTGATGTCGTTTATTTCAGACGGTACGTAGAAGGGTTCAACATAACCCATTTTTTCTGGGTGTACGTCAAGGCTTACATGAGAGCTGGGCCCTACGTTCTTAGTATTCTCTCTGCCTTTTTACTCATGAAAATCCGTGAAAATCGATGGACATTGTCAGTAGTAAGTACACCTCTAAAATTCACTTTAATTTTTTGCTCACCTCATTTTATCTCAAGGGCGTCAGCAGGCAGCTCTCAGTGTTGTTAAAATGTCGAGGAAAGAAATCTTGCGACACCTCGGGGGGGGGGGGGGGCGTTGCCTCCTGCAGGGATCGCGACCCGGTTTGCATCATTCGAATTTTTCCATCGTGTGAGGTAACAGTAAAGTGGAAAAAAGCAGAGCTAAGAGTAAGAGGATTTGGACTGCATTTTGTAAAAAGGAACCAGGAGCATTCCAATGTTGCTAGGGTCGTGCAACTTACATCTTTTGCATAAAATTACTGGGAGTGTGCAAAAATTTAAATTTATAAAGGTGATTTTCGAATTAAATTTGTAGTTTACATGGAGTAAAGATGAAACTTGTTCAGATGATCAGTTTATTTTTACAAGGTAAAAAAAAATTGCACAATCTCAGCAACATCGGAATACTCTTGGTTCCTTTCTGCAAAATAAAACCCATTTATTCATGTAGAGGAATGAAGCAACAAAAGTACGAATCTTGATTGCGGTGTTTCAAAATTTCCACTCCTTCTTTGTTCTTTTTTAAGAATATTATACCGGAAATTTTCGCATCGGGTATGTTCAATTTTAGAAAATATTTTTAAAGGGGCGAAAGAAAAATCACTTAAAATCTTGTCTAATGAAATTATGATCAGGCACTACCTCACAAAAAAACTATCATGATACTTATAAGAGAACCAGGAAGTTGAGGTCTGAAATACGCTCTTTGGCAGGTTTAATATAGTCGACCTTTGATATCTTATGACAAAGGTCTGAAATCATCTACATTTGAGGTGTGTCGTGAGATGTATTTCGCAACACAGCAAAACAAATTAAATCAATATTGCTCAATCATGGGTGTTCGCAGAAATTGGACTTCCTCATAACCATAACGTACCAAATAAATGAAATAAATAAAAAAACGTACCAACGTAAATGTTGCAACTTTTGTATTAAAAAGAATGACCACTTTTCTCTCCCTGGAATTTAGCTAAGTTCGGCGTTTTTCGGACGATGGAACGTAACAGCATTCCAACTTGAAGCAATTCCCACTGATATATTATATTTTGACAGGGAAACATACATGATTGCAAAATCCTACAATCATGTGATCCTAGGATTGCAAGCTCGTGGTTTGCACTGTTCAGAAATGGTGAACACCGCGGTAGGTTCGACACCAAGAAAATACGATTTTTCAACGATCTGAGCGCGCACCATAATAATGTGGTATACGCGCAATGCATGAAGTATCCTGCGGTCTCGTAAGGCGCTACTGTGCGTTGCGCGCACCTAGAGTCCCGCAACCCGGCCTTCCACAGTGTCGCAAACGGGGAAAAAGATTACGTTTTCACCAATTGCAAAGATAATAAACTGGAATGGACCGGAGAATAGGGGGTAGGGCAAGAAACAAATGGAATGAGAGAGAGGACGGAGTCTGGAAGTCGGGAATGCGTTGATCAAAGATTACAGAAAACGTCCAATTTGAGTAATCTTTATTTCCGTTTATGACATCCATTAAGTCACGTTGTCTCAATTCTTTCAAATAATGGGATCTGAATGATCCAGGCGTGTCTGTTCCCCTGTGCCCTACTTTTTCCACATTTATTCTTGCTCTTAAATTTAAATTTCTCATTTCTTGAAATTTTCTCGATGTCACCTAAACTCAGTTCTTCCAACGATTGTAGTGTTATTAATATCCTCTTTGTATCTGTAATCTTTGATTTAATAAAAAAGTCACAAAGAAAGAAACTTCTGGGCTAGAAATAATTTGAAGAATTTCCTCATGCGCGCGTCGTGACTTCACTCCATTGCCTCTAATGAACAATTCTTCTTTTCACTCTCAAACGATTATAGGCCCTCTTTCCCGTTTAATACTGATTCTGATATTGGCAGGCTTGGAGGTGGGTAATCTTGCTGGCGGCGATTGTCATCGGTCAAGGCTCTCAGTATTACGGTGCAGTATTCTACGATAAAACCAGACAGTATGACGTCATTGAAAATGCTCTGTTCGGAGCCCTGCATCGGACGCTATGGAGTCTAATAATCTGCAGTCTTATCGTTATTCAGCAAGCCTGGGGATTTGGTAAGTGCTCAGAGCCCCGCCAGTGGCATGGCATGCTTTGTGATACATCGATTGATCTGCCATTTAAACCTATGGAAAAAGATCGATAAACAGGGTGTTCGTTGCGAACACTTTAATAATCGATTCTTTACCATGGCTTCAAATGGTAATAAATCGATAATCGATCATTCACGCCTCGCTACTGAGCCCCGCATGAAAATTGAAAATTTTAATAAAGTAACTTGAAGCTTATTTACAAAAAAAAAAAAAAAAAAAAAAAAAAAAAAAAAAATTATAAAAACTTGAAAAAAGTTTGAAAATACAGCGAGGTTGCTGTTATGTTATTTTTGATAATATTTAAATTGAATCGCTTTTTGAGAAAAAGCGATAACTATACGAGGAAAAAATAATCCATGCCGTGGCATGCTTTTTGATATATCGATTTATCTGCTATTTAAACCTATGGGAAAGGATCGATAGATACCGTGTTCGCACCAGACACCATAATAATCGATTCTTTACCATAGCTTCAAAAAAAAATGTCGCTGCTGCAAATGTAGTAGATGTCAAAATCGGTCATTCACGCCTCGCCACTGAAATGACAAATCCGGATGGAAAAGGGGAAACAACTGAATTTTGCTGGGGGAAAAAAAACTGGAAATCGAAAATTTCCGGTGAATGGAAAATATTTCAAGCGTATGTTACCAGGTTACTCAAAGTTCCGTGGAAACAAAAATCTTAAATAAAAATAGTTTTATTGTTGTGTAGAGTGCAAGTTTTTTTAACGTTAGTGTTGGGTACCGTTCGGAACGACGGAATGCAAGCTTATCTTTCCATTTTAAATGAAGAGGAAAAAGAAGAAATGAGGGGCTTAGAGGACAAGGCGCATTGGTGCAGCTATTGCTATTTTGAGAAATACGTGTTTGAAGTTTCGAAACATAGATCTTCATGGCGGGAAGGAAGTTCAAACTTTTGATGCTTAAAAATTGAAATTTGGGAGCAAATTTTTCACGAAATGTGCATTGAAACAAGGTTTACCTTAAATCATTAATATAACTCCATTTTTTCAAAAACTGCACCTATGCGCCTTGTCCTCCAACCTCCTCAAATCATGTAACCGCGTATAATAAATAAACAAATATTATGCGTTTATCAATCTCATTAATATCTTTCAACTACACGACGCTTTATATCGTTTTGCTTGTTGTTCTAAATTACCCAAATTATAGGCGGGAAAATCGATGAGTTGTTGACGCATCAAATATACGTTCCTCTGGGTCGATTAACCTATCTGGTCTACCTATTTCATCCCGTTTGGCAAATGACGACGATGGCTTCTGGTCGGACAATCCTCTACGTGTCTGTTTGGCAACTTGTGAGTCGAAAACCCTATTTAACACACTTTCTTTTCGGTGCTACATATTTCAGAAAAAAGAAGTCTAGCCCGGGACATACCTCAATTCTCGATTTGAATTTTTTTTTTTTTTCAATGGACTACTAGACAAGGTACGAATTTAAACAATCTGATACATGTCTCTTAATAAGAATTTCACGTAGAACACGATTCACACAACGAAAATGACTGAAACCAACTCCTAACGAAGATATTAACGTTTTTATTTCACATTGGTTACGAGGAATTTGAACTGCCCGCTCACAAGAAACTCAAAGCTCTACGTGAGTCAAATCGCGCACTACAACGGTTTCAGCAAGCTTCTCAACCGAGCAATGTTCATTTCCCGCCATGTGTTTTTCAAACGATAAGCAATTTGCTATAGCTGAGCCAAAGCGTCAAGATTGAGGTTGCCAGATTTTTATATCGCAGAGACTGTCATGCTAACGTTTAGCGCACGATGTGAATCACGTAGATCATTGAGTTTTCATGAGCGGGTGGTTTGAATTCTCGCAACAGGAATCATTAAATATCTTCATAAGGAGTTGATTTCGGTAATTTTCGTTGTGCGTATTGTATTTTACGTGAAATTTTGGTTAAGAAACATGCATCAGAATGCTGAATTTCGTACCTTGTCTAGTGGTCCATTATCATCTACGATTTTCAGAATTTTCTTTTATCCTCTCATTACATTCCATGAAAAAGTTTTCGGTACACGATCACAGAACTCCGACATGCGCGCGATGATCTGATTACTTCTCACAGATTGCAGATTAACATCATGCTAAAAAAAAAAAAAAAAAAAAAAAAAAAAAAAAAAAAATTGAACGTATTGACTGGCAGAGCCTTTCCTGAGTGTTGCATTACGCCACGACGTCGCACGGTGGACAGAGGCAATCAAGGAGGTCGGACATGAAATTTTTGACTAAAACTGCAGATTTCAATGTTTATTTTGTCACATTTAAATTTCAAGGGGTGCTTACAGAAGCAATTTTCACGAGGAAACCAACGGAGCCACTTACAGAACCTTGAATGAACCTTGAACCTGCGTATAAACGGAGTTGAATGCTTTTAAAGTTTCCAAAGTCTGACTTCTTCTCTTGACTCGATCCACTGTGCGTCTTGGCCTTGAGGCCGCACGCGTACATCTTGCAATTAGGAACCACAATTTCTTGCTCATCCGTAAAAAAAACTTACGGGTAAAGGGAGACTAATGGCGCATAGGTAATTATTTCCAACCTGAGCCAGAAAGTTTAGTTCCTAATTGCAAAATGTAGTCCACAGTAATGCTGTGCTGAGGATGTACGTTGTATGAGCCTTTGAAGGATCGTGTATCACCTTTGAAAAAATACCCAAGATACTTCTATCCATGAGAATTTGTCGGTTTTTTTCTTTGAATTTTTCTGGATTGAACGGATTTCACTGGAATCTCCTAAACCTAGCGCAAGTAAAAATGATAGGGAAAAATGTGCTGCATTTTGCAATTTGGAGCTGTAAATTCTAACTCATCTAAAAAAACACTTATATGCAAAGGGAAACTAAAGGCGCATGCGTAGTTTTTAAACCGGGCTGGACTTTATAGTACCTAATTGCAAAATGTAGTCCATATAATATCAATGCTAAAGGGCGCAACCACGTGTCTCCGCCCAATGGGTCGAGACAATAGGAGAGGTCGGACAAAATGTGGGAACTTTAAACGCATATAACTCCGTTTGTACGTAACTTGGAGGCTCTAAAAGTGGTTCCATTGGTTTCCTCGTGACAATTTCTTCTCTGAACACCCCTTCAAATTTAAAATGTGACGAAATAAACATCAGAATTTGCAGTTTTCGTCAAAAATTTCATGTCTGACCTCTTCAATTTACTCGATCCGAAGTGCTTTAAAAATTTCCACTTATTTTTCGAAGAGAAACAAGCCAACTTTATAGCTTAAAATTTAAGCAGAATATTCTGCTTACAGAGAAGAAAATCAAGTTCTGAAAAATTAAAATGACTATTTTTTCTAAAGAAATAATATAGTAAGACAGGAAGTCTGCAACTTTGCTCACAAAAATGCGTGGTTCCGTACATTGGCCATCGATATATCTTATTTTCAGCAAAAATAAATATCTTATAAGAGGAAATGTGAACACTTCCGAATGTGCATGGAGCGTTCTCTCTTAGCACAGTTGCATAAAGGGTATTATCGAGCGACTAACAGCTAGCGCTAGGCAGAAATTGAAAAATGCCGGAGCGCCTTCATTTACGGAAAATGCAACGCAAGTGACGACCGAGCAAGTTTAGTTGCATCCAGGCGTTTTGAAGGGTGTCGCGCCTTTTACGTGTTGAAGCGCTGCGCTACCTGGCTTAGGATGCTCATAATTTAAGTTTTATCTGAAGAATGACAACACTGTCATCGAGTTTCTGCTACTTGTCAGTCAGTTTGACGTCAATACTTACAACGGCCAGCTTTTACAAATGTATTCTTTGCATTGTAGCCTAGCCATTTTACGCAATAGACATGCTGAAGCTATGGAAAATATCATGTGGTCCTTGAGATAAGATAGAAAAATTAAGATAGTTATATTCACAGACTTCTCTGCTCTTTGCAGCAAAACACCTAACACCTACCACCAATTATTATCTTCCTTTTCAGATTTGGCTGCTGGCAGGTGATACTATGGTTGTTTTCATGGGGTCGTTGTGGTTATATTTCATCATCGAGGCCCCTGCAAACAAGTTCAGGGCAGCTATGATGTCAAAACTCACCGGCAAAGGGTTTGTATTCTTACATTATTAGCTGTACATTTTGGCGGTATTATCAGTATTAACTGTAAATATTTAGAGCTGTAATCGAATCTCGGCTCAATTAGATTCATAGATTTGAATTTAAATCTACAAGGGTTGTAAAATTGGAGGTACGGATTTGGGGCACTTGGTTCTATGCTCTTTACATACTTTAAGATTTAAACTGGAAGAGAGGGGAAATAGCTCATAGATTACAGGGCAGCGTAATTGCCTAAATTACTGCCTTTTCCCTGAAATTCACTCCGGAACAACATGCTATTTTCTGTTATTTATTGTTTACATTAAATTGATCTACTTCTGTTCACAGACAACCTGCTGTAAAAGAAGAGCAACAGGCTACAAAGAAATTGGATTGAACTGCTCTTTCATTTTCTTTTAATCAGAAATGAGAGTCATCGCTCAGAAAAATAATTAATTGAAGGATAAAGAAATACAACAAAATATTGATCAGATACACAGCTCTTGGTTTTAATTGCTAGAGAAAAAAAAAAATTGAATAATTGCACGCTGAGCTACAAATATAGATACCTATTGTACAGTGCTTCCGATACAATCAGCACAGTCAATCCTCTGAAAAATAATTAATGCTTAGTTTGTTACAAGAAAAAATGGACTCAATAATGCAACCATAAATGCAACCTTCAGGTCCATAAAACTTAAGGATGAGCTCTGTGTACTTCCGATGGGTTAATTGTTGAGAGAGTATGTTTCATAGTGTAACATGAAAACTGATTTATTAGTGTATTAACTTTCTATAGAAATAATACTTCTCTCAGTGATGTAAATTCTTTGCCTTATATTAAAAGAACATTTGTTCCTAAACGAGATTTGTCATGAAAAGACTTTTACTTTGAAAAATTACTTTTTTCTTACTTTGAAAAATTGAAAATCTAACTGATTTGAGTGGTAGGAAGACTCCCTGTTTTAAGGACCTTTCCATTTGCGGATAAAACCAATGAGTATTTTAATGCTGTAGGTACATAAAATCAGGTACTTTACAGAAATAAAAAAAAATATAATAATAAATAAAAAAGTATTAACTACAGGGATGAGGGCAGTTAAATTATTGATACACACTTCATTGACAAATGAAAGGTTGGCAAGGAACAATGTCATGGAATTCATCATTAATATTTGTTCTACAATTTATACATTTTGATTATCCCATTTGAGTTTTCGATATTGTAATTCTTAAATACATTTAAGTAATTGTAAAAGTCTACGCTGTGTATTTGATGTCATGATGAATGGGCAAGACACAAATTAAGAACAAAGAGGCAGATGAAAAAAAATAAGGAACAGTTTTTTATGCAAAGGGCAAGAGTTAGAAAGGAGAAAAGGGGAACTTGAGCAAATCCTAAGTAGAATCATTTAATTACCCTACATTAACAGTAAAAATGTAACATTTCATACTACACATTTCTGTGAAGTAAAGATTGTTTAAGAAAACTGCAAAAATGCGCATCTTGGTTTGCGACTTCCAGTTGTGACATATTTTCTAAATGGAAAAATATTTCATGTACTCCCAAAAATGTTCAGACTTGTATTTTTCATTCGGAAGAATGATCTGTAAAAACTTAAAGCAATAATGCTGATTCGATCTTCTTTGATACAGTAAAATGTAAGCGAAGATTGCAGATTCACGTTTTTGCAGTTTCACCATCGACATGTGACATAAGCACAAATTGAAAGAGCACTTCTAAAATAAAGGAAATTTCAGTATTTGTTCTTTGTTCAAATAATTTAAAAAATATCTAGCATTACCACAATTTTCACGGAGGTGAAAAAATTACCAGCTATCTAAAACTTTGTCATTCAAAAACTCTTAAGGCTTTCATCCTTGCATTTATGTTTAAATTTTCCATTACACATGATAGTTGAGTTGACCTTCGAATAAATTACAACATGCTTTCAATTCTTCTCACATTCTCAAATTTTTGGCAATAAAGGCAGGATTAAGAGGATTACCATCAGGGCAGATTTTGAACATAATACATACAGGGTGAGCGAAAAGTCCCCGACCCCCCTCTAACTTTTAAACAAATTGACCTAGGGAAATGAAACTTTGGGAATGTTCCTACCTCAAAGGGGACCATCTTTTGGGGGGGTCAACATTTTGGTCCCCCCCTCAGGGGAGACGGGGGCCCCCCAACTTTTTTTTTTCAAATAGCAACCCCTATCTTGTGATACCTCATTCGAAAGAGCATAAAAAACTAAGAATTTTGGCGCAAACCGCAGATCAATATCTTAATTTTTGACCAAGTTATAATAGGTCAAAGGTCAAATTTGACCTATTTTCAAAAAATCATAACTCCAGTTCAAATTATCGTAAAGAAAAAAATAAAACGGGAAAATTTACCAAATTGTGTCCGCTTTTAAGTAAAAATTGCAAAAACTACTTCGATATAATTTTAAGGGGGGGCTCGGACCCCCAAATACGTCAATTCAAAGGTCATTCAATTTTCCCGCGAAATAAGCCAATTTCCCCTTGATTTGCCTCCACATTATCTCAGTAAGGTCAAAATCAGTTCAACATTACGTTGGCAAGTCCCCAAATTTCGGGAAAAGTTAGAAAAAACGAAATTTAAGGTAATTAAATTTGACCATTTAAATATCATTTTTTTTTAACTTTTCCCGAAATTTGGGGACTTGCCAACGTAATGTTGAACTGATTTTGACCTTACTGAGATAATGTGGAGGCAAATCAAGGGGAAATTGGCTTATTTCACGGGAAAATTGAATGACCTTTGAATTGACGTATTTGGGGGTCCGAGCCCCCCCTTAAAATTATATCGAAGTAATTTTTGCAATTTTTACTTAAAAGCGGACACAATTTGGTAAATTTTCCCGTTTTATTTTTTTCTTTACGATAATTTGAACCGGAGTTATGATTTTTTGAAAATAGGTCAAATTTGACCTTTGACCTATCATAACTTGGTCAAAAATTAAGATATTGATCTGCGGTTTGCGCCAAAATTCTTAGTTTTTTATGCTCTTTCGAATGAGGTATCACAAGATAGGGGTTGCTATTTGAAAAAAAAAAGTTGGGGGGCCCCCGTCCCCCCTGAGGGGGGGACCAAAATTTTGACCCCCCCCCAAAAGATGGTCCCCTTTGAGGTAGGAACATTCCCAAAGTTTCATTTCCCTAGGTCAATTCGTTCAAAAGTTAGAGGGGGGGTCGGGGACTTTTCGCTCACCCTGTATAACTGATTTACAACAAAAAGACTCAAAAATGAATTGGTTGAAAAATGACTCAAAAATGAATTGAAAAGTTACATTGTTTATAGTGAGTAGAAACTCAGCAGTTTTACTGCTGGAAGTAACAAAGAATTTCATAACAGTTAACTTTTATTTAATAGTGAAACTAGAAAAACATCAGCCTTAATATGCAGATTTTCTATCACATTTTAGTGACACTCAAGTAGTAGCGCAATGAACATACTGAGATACTTTTGCAACTTAATACAGTATGCTTGCAATTTTTCACCATAAAAGTGCAATATTTTTCCATGATTTGGTCAATAAATGCCGATTTTAAGGTATCATTCAAATGACTATCATGTGCAAAAAAGGTGGGTACTTTGCCTTGCAAAAAAAATGGCAACTTGATTAAATTTTATTGCGACAAATTTCAATAAGAGGAGCCCCTTAAATTAAAGAATAGACAAAATATGAGACACTCTAATACATTGGCAATAATTTTACCAGGTGATTGCAATATAATGCAACTTGCGCTACTTGGGCATAAAAAAGCTGAAAACCATTTTTTTCCATACTTCCACTAATTTAGATTATTTGGCATTACAATCAAGGTGCATTTGTTTTTCTAGTTGCACCATTGTATTGCAACTGCAAATCTCTTACTGCTAATACCTCTACAGACAAATACATTACCCACAAAAATTCCTTATTGATAGACTACTTAGGCACACGTATACTTGAACTTGTGAAAAATTAAATAAAAACACGCATCAATACCTACAGCTTTAGAAATGAAAGACATTCTACGATGCAATGAGATTATTATAATGTTTTGGAATGTGATGAAGATAGAAAAAAAAAGTATAAATGCCGTTAGAATCCACTATCATCATCACTTGGTTCATCCAAAGGTGATGTTGGCGATCGGTGTGAAATTAAAGAGCTGGAGTTCGCTGGCCTGTTTCGTAACCTGATTTAAAAACGAGAAAAAACAACATAATTTAAGAATGAACATCAGTTATTACACAACTGAAAGATAGGAATGCAATTTAAGGAGAGAAATCACCTCTCCCAAATTTAAAAATTGGGCTTTCCTTTTAAAAGGGTGCTCAATTTTCAATGGATTATAGAAATTGTATCTAACTGAGATGATTTCTGATTGCTTTGATATTCAATTAAAATAATGCCCCAGCAAACTAGCTATCAAGTATTGTTTAATGCTCTTCACTTGCTTGTTTCTTTTTACTTTTAGCTTTGGATAAATGCAAAATCTAATATTTATCCTTTAGGTACATAGTTCTTTGCTCCTTCCTAGAGTTTCTCTCTAAAATGACTCATATATTTTTCCTAAGGGTGCTTGGTATTTTTGCAATCCAAAGAACACGGATTTTCATTGATTAATATTGATAACTCCCTGGTTATTTTCATAAAAAAAAACCCAAAAAACTAACAAATAAAAAAAAATGGGAGAAATAGAAAAAGACAAAATTGCGATAACAAGTGAGTAAAATATTGCACTTAATAAAAAACTAATCATTCAAGTTCAGGGGCAGAATCTTCATGAGCACTAGTGCTAAACAATAAGAAAAATACATACAAACCAAAATCATTCCAAGGATAGCATGAAAAATTAAAAAAAAATTAGATGAGGTTGGGATAAAGTAAAAAAAAAACAAACAAGGACCAGGGTTTTCAAAATGTCTTGATTTTCCAATTCCTGACTTTTCAACTCCAAAATTTTTGAATTTCCTTACTTCCCTGACCTTCGAACAAAACTTCCACTTCTGTCGTTTCCTTTTAATTATGCTGACTTTTCTTAAATGTTGCTTACGAAATTCTCCGACTTTTCTGGGTCAGTGTAAATTCCCTGACTTTCCTGTTCAACCATCATGAAACGACTATTAAAGTTCCATGAGGGGCCATTCACAAAATAAGTAAGGCTGTGGGGGGAAGAGGGTCGATGAGAGCAATTTCGCTTGTGCGTTCTAAAGGACAAGACTCTACATCACATGTTACACACAGAAAGAAGGAATCAAAAAATCTAAAATTTAAAGTTCGGTATTTTGTGAAAGGCCCTTACCAGAAGAAGATTTTTCCTTCTACTGAGTTGCCACAGAATTTAGAAAATGAGTTCCTTGACATTTCCTTGATTTCTCTTAGAGTCCCTTTAAAGACAATGCGAATCCATTCCTGATTGGTTCCCGTATTTTAGGCCTTTACTATGTAACAATTGGGAATAAAGATTACAGTTCCCCAAAGTGCAAAGATTATAAACTGGAATGGACCGGGGAAGACAGGAATGGGTTGATCAAAGATTACGGCAAACGTCCGATTCGTGTAGTCTTTATTTCCGTTTGTGACATCCATAAGCCGCGTTGTCTCAACTCTCTCTATGAAAGGACTCTAATTTTTCTGACACATTTTGGTGATACACCCTGGCAATTGAGGATATGCCAGATGGTTAAAAAGAATAGATAGAAATATGTAGTTTTCAGGCAAATTTGTCGTTCAAAACGTCAATACAAATACTCAGAAGCAAATAAAGGTGATTTGATAATTTTTCCCTGACATTTTCATCATTTTCCCTCACATTACCCGTTTTTCCATAACTTTTTAAAATTCTCTGATATTTCCTGATTTGCCCTGGCTGTGGCAACCTTGTCTATATTTGGAACAAGCAAAATGGCATATAGTTACCTAGTGTTTAAATGTTGTAATTGCACTTGTAGACTCTCGACTTGCTCTTGAAGCTCATCATTTGATCTTTGTAATTTCCTGATAAAAGAAAACAAACACATAGTAATGAGAAAAGATGAGAAAAGATCTTGTGGACTTTGTGAACTTTTTTGTGGGTGTTCGAAAATTTCATCAATATCACCTTATTCTTCCTCTTTAAAATTTTGAGTTATTTTATTGTTTCAAAGATTTATTACTCATTGACTGAAACGTCATAATTTCAAATTTTATTACAAATTACTATACATTCGTGAATCCTTCAGTTTCAACTCATGCATTCATTGGTAAGTATTAGATACAATATTTTACAATTTTTGCTATTTTGCAGGTTGTTTGGAATTTGAGAAATGCATACAAAATTAAAATTTAATAGTGCTTTTGTACAGATTTTTTCAACATCTGAAATTGGAGAATATACAAAAAGAGGAAGAAAAAAAGATGACTTCAATTTCTGCCAATAGCAGACAAAGTCTTAAAATTAAAATGCACTGGTGCAGTCTTAATCACGTTCAAGTGTACACATTAGAGAATAAGACATCAAGGGTATGGATTTACCTAATATTGTTTGAGGCAGAATCCACCTCATCTTCCGCAACAGCTAGTTCGCGCTTCAATTCCTCCACGCGACTCCTTAATTTTTTCACTTCTCCTTCATACTGCTCAGCTCGCCTGAAGGCATGACCTAGCTCCGTTGTTTTGTCGGCAAGGATTTTTTTCAATTTATTGTGAGTATGTTTCAATTCTGTCAGTTCCTGAGATGAAACCAAACATTAAATTTTGAAAAACAGATAAAAAATAAAGAAAACAGGACAAAAAGAAGCATGATACACAGTGTCAAAAACATGCTATAGACTGTGTAAGATTTGTTAAACGTTAACAATTTACAATTACGTACAAAAGTAAAAAATAATTTAAGCAAATTCATCGCCAAAAATTGCAATGAGGAACTAATTTTTCTGGCCCATGCATGAATGCACCTTTTTACATAGGGAAACAACTGGTGTATAGTTTGTTCATAAACTGAGCCAGAAATAGTAGTTCCTGATTGCAAAATATAGTGAAATTGCTTCACATTACGACAATAAGCCTTTAGCTGGCACAAACAATTTTAAACGCACAGCTTTTTCTCAAAACTATTGATTTCACAGCTCTGGATCATTTGTCAACATTTTAAGACATTTTTTGTGTTCCTTCAATTTCAAATACCCCCCTCTCGAAAATGATCGTGTTAGTATCTTAATTTTTGGTTTTTAGGCACTGAGATTCCTTTTTTTCATTAGATGGTGACAAATTTTTCAATTTCAAATGCAATGATAGGTACTGCTCATACACCACATTAAACATAGGATGTGGACAAAAAATACCTACTTTACTTTTGTCGCACAGTTCTTGCTGCAAAGTGCGGAGTTCATTGTCAGCGGTTGGTTGTGGCCGCCCCTTTCGCTCTAAGCGTTCAATAACATCATTCAACTCTGCCCGGAGTTTTTTGTTCTCTCTTTCAATGCTGAGTTTCTCTGTCTCCAATCTCTCTCGCTTGCCCCATTCGGATGCATTTTCAGCTTGCAGCCGCTCCAGCTGAAAGTTAAAAGAAGCCAAACACAGGACGTTCGCATGAATATTCAAGGCAAAGAGTCAAAGTTCAAAAAATTGATGGAGCTAATGTTTGGAAGAATTTGAATGATTTTCCAAATTAGTGCGAGATTTTAGAAATAGAGGGAAAAAAATCTTGCTGTATAAGAAAATTTAATCTCTAAGCAGATTCTTAGGTAGCTCGAATTTAGCAGCATGGCGCTTGCGGACAAAAAAAACCGGACCGGCCAATCCTGCCTGGCAGGAGCTCAATGTACCGAGTTCTTTTCCCCTTACTTTCATAGTTCTTCTCTCTCATCAAAATTTCGGCTTTCTGTCAATTTTAAATTATTCTTTTGTTTTCTTAATTTCTGATCAATGTATACGTCGTCTAGTAGATATTCATAATTCTGCTGATGGAAAGCCGTACTATCTTGCTGGATTGTGATGTTACTTTTTGTACAAAGAGGAGATACAAAATGTGTTATTTTACACTGTTGCTAACTGGTAAACAACATCCGATATTACAAGAGGGCCAAAATTCCTCCTTGAAAGCTGAGCCCTCCTAATTGACTAGTTTTGAGAAAATTGCTCTTGATAATCAGTTAAGGTGATTGGAGGAATGAGAAGTAATACTGCTAAAAGAAACATGAGAATGGGTCTGTTGGACAGATCACAGAATAGTGTTTTGATGCTTCATTCTTGCAGGTTAGCTAAAAATAATAGGATCCGTTCAAACAGCAACTTTCTACGTTCAATATTCATCAAGATATTACTTTTTGAAAAATTCGGTATATAACTTCATCCACCGCAGTAGTAACACCCTTGGTTTCTTCCACCTTGCTTTCATGAATCAGTGAGACACACATTTGCACTGGTTACTCAACATAAAACTTGGATGCGAGCAAGGTAGAAGAAACCAAGGGTGTCACTATCATGGTGGGTGACATAAACCGAATTTTTCAAAGCGCAATATCTCAGTTAATATTGAACGTAGAAAGATGCTGTTTGGACGATCATATTATTCTTAGCGAATCTACAAGAATCAAGCATCAGAGTACAATTCTGTGTCCAGCGCAACTGACCCTTTATTGACTGTTGGAGAAGAGATATACCTGTGCTCTTAGGTCGGCTAGTCTTCGGTCCATGCCTTCCCTAGAAGTCGCTTCGTCCAGTAAATCAGCCCTGATGAGAGCGACTGTGTCTTGGTGAGTATCTTGAAGTCTCAGCAGCTCACGCATGGCCTCTTGTTTTGATGTCTTCAAATCCTCACACTTTTCTTTCATCTCGGAGAGTTCCATCTCAATTTTTTCCAAAGTTTTGTGCAAACTTTGCTTTTCCCTGAAAAATCAAAGTGAAGCTACAATACACGCATATTTTACTGGCAGCTAATACCACTATTCTACTCCAACTTTAGACAAGACATGAATGATCTTCCTGTTCAGGTGATCAAAATAATAGAATTCAAAATGTGAAGTTAATTTATGACACTAAGAGACTTTGTATACTCTTTATTTGTTTCAAATTTCCTGATACTTTTTATTTTAATGATGAAGGAGAACCAACAGTTTTTGACTCGGAAGATTTCAAGTCATCTTGCTTCGCAACACGGAAACATTCTCTAGAACTTGCAAAAACGGTAATTAGTTTTCTTTCAAGGAACTATCAAAAAATTGCATACCTTTAGGGCTACTGTTTCAGTTCATCAAGGGAAGCTCTCACATCCACATCTTTCATGGAAAATCTGGATGTTTTCCCTACTTATTTAATGACCTTCCAAAATCCATTCTTTTAGAGTATATCGTTTGTTTGCGGTGAACTAACTACTTAAATGCTGACATTTTGTTGCCAAATTTGGCTGGCTACACTGTATAGGACATATTGATTGATTGACAAGTCGAGCTACAAGCCAAAAAGAAACAAGTATTATTTCAAACTACATGTAGATGAGAATTTAGTGAAACCTTGCCTGTCTATAATTTAGTTCCACTCTGCTTTCTTTGTTCGTTTTTGGTTATATTATTTACCTACTACCTTATCACTGTTATCACTCATCTTTCTTCATTAATTTTACCTTATTTTATATTATTCTAAGATGTAGTCGCGCAAAAAATTGTGTATTTTCACACAGTTTGCAAAGAGTTTTGTAGCTTTTATATCTTGTGAAGTGTTTCCATCGGTTGTTTGTAATGCACTGGAAAAGTTCGCAGTTTGTAGGCAGTCAAAACGTTTTCTTTGTTCTTTGTAAGTTTTATATTTTTCTCATCTACATATAGTTCGAAATATTTCTTGTTTATTTTTGGCTTAGGGCTCAATTTTTTTAATCTATCACTGTGTTAAATGCTGACCATACATGCTCCTTTACTGTCTTGGAATAAGACATGCATTTTTCAAGTTTTTATGATTAATGAGTGTCAATCCAGCTGAAAATAATTTTTTTTTTTGCTTCATAAAAAAATACAATGAGGTGTGAAAATTACAATTTGAGGGATTAAAAACAATGACAGAAAATGGAGAAAGTCTAAACGGAACTTACTCTCTTTCTACAACAAGAGTTTTGGATGTTTCGTCCAACCTCAGCTGAAGCATGGACAGTTTCTGTCGCAGTACTTCCTCACTATCACAGTCCATATTATTACAGCTGCTACGAATACTGTTGCACTCCAATTCATTTATTGAGTTTAGATCAATATTGGCATCACTGTCAGTTTCTGAGCGCTCCCCCAACCGACTGTCTGAGTCCAGAGCATTCTCCTTCCCACCTGCGGAAAAATGACTGTCAATAGTAGAAAACAAAACTAGAACACAAAACATTGTCTGGTTCTCTTTAGGTTAAAAGTAAAAACTCAAATGTATGCCTTTCATGGACAAGAAAAAAACACTAAAAATCTAATAATTTAGGTCTTTTATTGTTTCTTTTTGTTATATATCAACAACATTGTTCAAGGATCTGCTCAAAACCGAAATAATCTTGAGAAAGCATCCCTTCAAGGACTTCGATATCCCCCCTCCCCAATTTTAAAAATTTCAATTTTTATTGCTCCAAGTCTCTGTTTATGGTTGCCAATAACGAATATCTTCTGTAGGTACCTGTAGCAAAAATTTCTCCGCTAGCCGTGTCTTTCTGGCAAGCAGTGTTACCAAACAGTTCCACAGCATGTTTTGGGACAGCTCCTTGCAGAACGTATTCTTCAATTCCTCCTGGAATCAATTCCTCTTGCGACAAACTGCTGGCCAGACCAGAGTCTGCGGTGACTAGTGATGGTAGGACAATGTCTTTTTCTGGATCGGCACTTTCTAGAGCTTCTAGCAGCTGGTGATCCCATTGACCTAATCGAGGTGAAAAGACTTTTTAGTTTTGGAACATCATTTTAAAAACAGAAAAATCGAGGAAAATGTCAAACTCAATATTAGGCAATTTGAAAATTTCTATTGTATGATAATAAGTCAAATACTTAGACATTTTGGAAGAATTTTGTAAATTTAATGGTCATTTATTTTAGCTTGGCTTCCTCATTAACATTGGGTTATTTGCATACTAAAAAATGGCCAAGGATCTCTTCATTAAGGTTTTGTGGCTGAAAATTAACATCATAAAACTAACACCTTCGCCTACAAGAATCAGTGTAAGTGCCGATTTTTGAGAAATTAACAAACCAAGCTGAAATAAACATTGTGGAGGGATTATGTCTCAGCAAGGTCAAATTTTACAGAAACAGACTTTTACCAGGAAGACTCTTTATGGAGTCACACCTGAACTGTCCTTTACCAAGACTTGAAATTGTTGGCGATAAGTATAGCTAAAACATTCAGCTGCAATATTGCTCAGTATTTATTGGAATATTTGAATTGCAAACAGCTAAATGGAATGCTTTTTGAGAGAACAAGTTTCTTCCAGAAAAACTCTCATCCTATAAGTTGACACTACTGTCATCTAACAACAGTTGAGTACTGACCGAGGGTGAAACTTTTACCATGCATAGATAATTAAAATAGCCGATTGAGCATGGGAATCAGAAAAACCTGAAAAACTGTACCAACAATACTCTAAAAAAAAACTGGTAGCGTAGCTCATGGAAGTTCTCAGTAAGTATTTTCCAACATTTTTAAGACGTTCAAAGTTTTATTTTTAAAGCCTTTTTAAAATGTTTAAAGCTTACCTGCATGCTTTAGAAGAAGCAGATGTATTTTTTCTAACTCTTTCCTCATTTGTTCATTTTGGACTTGTAGATCTTGCTTTTCTCGATGACAGGCATTGTTCTCTTGCATTACTGAATCTAATTTTGATCGAAGTATTTTCACCTCATCACGAGCTTTGTTCCTTTCTGTTCGCACCTGGGTTAAAAAATAAAAACAATTAAAAGCAAATCTGCTATAGTTCTATTCTTCTAGTTGCACTAATTGAAAGAAAGTGGGCAGAACAAGGACCTTCAAGTATGACTAAAATTGTAAATTTCGCTGTCTGATCTGTGCCAGGAATAAGAATTTCATTCAACTTGCTTGATGACGTCTTCCACTCAATTCTGGCATTTCTTTCTATTTCTGGCAAAAAAGAATTTTCGGTAAAGCAAAGTCTTGAAAAAAGCAGGGGCGCAGAATGTTTTCGATTGGGCGATAATAATCGAAAGACCTCTTGCGTTAGAACCGGAGAATGCTTTAAAAATTGGGGAGGGTTATTTTCTTAGCAATTTATATCAATTTTGGGAAGAAAAATGTGAAGTCCATTGTTTCCTGGGCTGAATGCCTTTCAAGTGCACTGCGTTTAAGAAAGAAACTGTCAAGCGCTCTGTTTTATGTGCCACAAGTGTTTTAAGCATGCTACTTTTCGGGAAGGAAACTGTTGAGCAAGTTGTTTTAGGTAAAGACACAATTATGGCAAAACATCAAATTTAGGGGAAGGCAAATTAAAAATTGGGGAAGGCTAAGAGCTTTCTGCACCCCTGGAAAAAAGCACTGAAGTGTCTGAGAAGACACCGCATGCTTGATCTATTTGATTTTTAAATTTGATTGTAAAATTTGCCAAGCAATTCTTGTTACAAGAGTTATTGGCTGGAAAATGGGCAGCCACTATAGGACGGTATTTCAGAGTCTTGAGTCAACAATTGGTCATAAATCTGGTATGCATGATCTTAGTTTGACCAACCTTGCTCCATTTTTCGCGCCAGTTGGCTGTGCAGTCAGACCACCAGCGCATAGTTTTCTCCATCTGAGCAGCTCTTGCACGCGCCTCTTCCAACTCTCGTTGTCGAAGAGCCTCTTTGGCTTCCCATTCCGCTGCATCGCCGAAACAACGACTTGCTGCATTGCTACTGCTTGGATCGTGCCGTCGCCCAGTCCCGTGGGTGCTCGACATTTTGGTGCTGGACATCCTAGCATTCACTTTAAGAAGCTAACATTCTCCTGTTGGACAGACAAATGCGTATAAAATGATTTGTTAAAGATTTTGAAAATGGACACACAGCTCTGCTCTGCGTTAAATTAAGTATGGAACTGTTCATCAAACCATTCAAGAAATATTGAGAAGAAAATGCTTGTATGCAGATGGTTTAGTGGAATCATTAAAGCAGGATGCTTGAAGTATAATTTAACATTTTCTTCAGGTAAGTTGGAAATAGTCAACTTTCCGTACATCCGTGGAATATAGATCTTCTATGCAGTTTATCATAACCTCAGAGTTTCTCATGGTGTGGGCTGTGTAATCGAAGGTTCAAGGGACTGCACAGATCCTAACCTTCAAAGTTTTCGAGTCAGACAGGCACACACAGTGACGTCTGTTTGCTGCAGTCTCACTTTTCATGAAAATTTTCATAGCGCATACCAGATTACTTTTCCTCTTTCGCTGTTTGCGTAGAAAAGGGAATGCCAAATCCTGTGCTTACAGTGAAAGGGGAAAAGTAATCTGAGACGGGCTCTAGATCTTTCTGTAGAATTTGAGCTATAATTTATTCGCTGATAAAGACTTTTAACTAGATATGTTGGAAACATTTCAAAGTAAAGCTACAGAACTGTGTACGTATTTAACATTCCCTCGATTGAATGTCTAGCCAAAAGGATGTAGTGGATGTAGTGATAAAGTAAAAGGGACACTTACTGATAAAACTCCATGAGAGCCACACTGGAGGTATACAAACATAAGATTTAGTTGTAAACAGCTACTAATCTCAATAGAACTAAGAGCTTGTGCCGAGGTTAAGAGTGCAACGACACATCGTTACATTAAAACGGAGTTCACTGTCAATGGGTCACGCAGTGCTGATTGAAGTCACAGGAAACTGATCTTTGTTTGCAGGACTTGAGCGGCTCACAGTATAAAGATTCCAGCTTCGGAGGAAAAAATCCACTTTTCGCCACGATAAGTCTAGTAGTAAGTACTTGGTCATGAAGTATTTTCATGGAACTGAGGGATGTAAACAATCTGACACATTTGTTTAGCACAATACACTGATTAGATGCGTGATTTTCACGTGCTTCTAAAAGTCTTACGTGAGGTTCATAGGCGGTAGATGAAAAACATTGAAAGATTTAGAAAAGAAGAGAAACGAAAGGAAAATTTTAAAGTTTCATTCAAAACTGTGGATGTGGATGAGGTGTTTTTATTTTTTTCCTCCCGTAGCAAAACACCTCCGGACGGCCAACGCTCATTGGCCGTTGAGCGGTGTATGCAGTGATGCAGAAAAAGAAGTGCTAGTTATTCTTGCTCAGCCTTTCCTTATCAGTTTTGATAATAAATGAAAATATTACTTTCCTTGACATCTTAATTATTTTTTATTACAGAAAACGTGCCTAAGCTAAGATTTATTTACAAAAATAGACTAAAATCATCCGAATTAACGGAAATTGTTGGGTGTTACTTATGACCATCAATCACTGTGTGTGGGTTTGTGTTGGCCCTCCCTATTTCTGAAACTAGTTCAAAATTATTTGAAATTATTCCCGCTAAAACTTTGTCCGCAACTTCGCCGCACACACGCTGATTAAGCCATATCCACGTTAATTTACATTGATTGATGAATTGAATACACGCGGAAAACAGTAAAACAAAACCAGTTTTCTATCGCTTCATCTGACAACTTCAATGATCGGCCAGCAGGCGGCGTCTTATGGATTGATCCTATGTTTAGCCCCATTTTTCACACACCTATATCAACCTTTGTTTTAACTTTGGCAGAATATTGTTCCTGCGAATACGTAAAGTAAGAATTTACGATGAAACGACGTAACTTGAAAAGCTAATTTTTCCCGTACACACTGTGCTCTCTCTTTGCAGGGCAGCACAATTGGTGCCTCTCACAAATGCGCATGACGACGACAGGCCTGATCATCGTATGTCGATGGTGAAACTGCAGAAATGCGTAACTCGGTTTGCGGCGTTGCAGACTCCCTGACAAACTTCATTTTCTACGTGTGAAACTATACGGAACGTCATTTTTTTAAATTTTCAGTTATTTTTATTATCTTTTTAAAGAATATCCAGTGAAAATTTCAAGCCATGGTGTTGGCTTAGTCTCCTTTCAAAACATTAAATAGGAGCAGAGATTGCGGTACACCGCAACCGAGATACGCGTTTTTGCAATTTCACCGTTGAAATGCGGGATTGGAAAGCAGCGCAGCGAGAATGGAGATGTTGCATGTGTGCGAAATTTGCGATTTGACTATTAATTCTTATGTAAAAGTTCGCGAGAAACACGATGGTGCCACTGGTTTTCTCTGAAATCAACTCCCAAGCTCAAAATAAGCTCTCAAGTTGAGGCCAAAATGGAGGAGATATCCCACTCTCTCCTGAGAGTTCACCTCTACATCAAGACACACTTTCCATGCGAAGATAGGGAGCAAATGCATTAGCAGGGTTGCCGTGTTTTCAGTTGTGGAATCCCCAAATAAAGTGACAGCCCTGACAATGTATTTGCTCCCTATCTTTGCATGGAGATTTTGTCTTGATGTAGAAGTGGACTCTCTGGATAGCGTGGGATATCCCCTCCATTTTGGCCTCAACTTGAGAGCTTTTTATGAGCTTGGGTGTTGATTCCAGAAAAAACCAGTGGCGCCATCGTGTTTCTCGCGAATTTTTACATAAGAATCAGCAGTCAAATCGCAAATTCCTCACACATGCAACATCGCCATTCCTGTGGGTAATGCAAATTTTTTCTGAAAAAAATTCTTGCGGAAAGAACGATAGTGGCCTTAAAAAATTCCGTCAATGCTACTAAGCTCCAAAAAAGCTTCAGAAAGTTTTCGAGCTTCTGATTGGCTCTGCTGAATATGACGTCAGTGGGTGGTACTCCGAATGTCAACACGGCAATCGACCTGAAGGTCATCAATGTGTCGTGAAGAAAAAAGTGTATACTTGCGTGTGAAGGTCATACGCCGTCACCATGCTCGAAATGTTTTTTGGTAATCAAGTGATTTCGTGCGACATGGAACATAATTTTTTACTTTGAAAATGTGTAAATCCTCTGGCAAGCATAAAGAATGAAATTGGTGGGGTAGGACGACCGACGACGCACAATTTTAGTCACCCGTGTGTTTCAGCCGTGAAATTCAGTTTTCGTGAATCGTTTTATAACTCTACAAATAGCTTTAATTTCGAAAACTTGGTCGGAAATCGTCTTTTCATATTATCAACAAGAGACCGAAAATGGCTTAGTTTTGAGCCGAAACGTCTCTGTGTTTACTTGTGTATTTTTAGCCTTGTTTCCCGTTTCCTCTTGTCTTATCGTTTGATCAATAAGGGAAACTGATATTCAAGGTGATATTTAAGTACATTCAAGATGTTGCTTTCAATTTATTTCCCACTGATGTGAATATCAGCATCGGATTATTTTGCACTAAAAATAATTTGATCTAGAGCAACTGTTTCATAAAGTTTCCTCTATTTATGATTATTTAATTTTTTTTTTTTAGTAAATCATAAGAGCAGTACTTACGGGGTGTTTTAAATGTCGAGACAGTGTTTTTCTGATTCCAGTAGGAAGATACAGACTTTTTTGAAACTGGTGAGAACGTCTAGTGCTATATTGGTCGTGGGAGCCAATTTTTGTGCCTCTTTTAAAAATTAGAATTTTTTCCAGAGGTTGATTACTCTTCAACCATCAAAGATGTGAGGACTCGGAGAAGAAAGGTGAGTTTAAAGCGAAAAAAGCTGACTCAATTTGAGTTTGTTCATTTTAACGATATAATATTTAGACTATCTTTCATATTTGTTGCGTCATACAGGATCCTGGGCGTGCTCATAAACGGACAAGTGTTTTTTTAAATATTTTATTGAGAGGGGAAAAAGATCGAATACATTCAATAAACCATTCAAAAGTTGTAAGTATAGTTCGAGGTTTTGCTGTTAACCAGGGAATTAAGGAGGGGGTTACACCAAAAAGTCCGCCATATTCGGGCGTCTTATGACTGAGCACATGGTATATCGACGGCGTAAGTCCGCAATCACATATCTCGTTTGCGGTGTCTGAAAATCTCCGCCACTATGTTATTTTTTTAAAGGATAACAAATTGACATCATTCCTTGAAAGTTATGCAGAATTTTCTTCGTACAGAGAAGAAAAATCACGGCAGTTTTAAAGAATTACCGTTGAGTAGTTTCCCGTTTAAAAATAAAGTATGACAGGGAGTTTTCCACGTTGCAAACCGTGTCATGTGATTGCCGACTTACACCGTCGATAAACTATACTATCTCAGAAAAGTGGGATCATATCTTACGAGGAATGTACATGCTTGGCATTTACAATTTTTACTGGCTACTGGAAGCTACTTGATTCGCTTGAAAGTCATGGTTTACAAATTCCTGGAAAAGAGAAAATTTTATGAAAACAGATTATGGTCTACGTGGGTCAAATGATCTCGATCTCGCCGAAACAGTGTAAAATTATACGATTTTGACTTCCATATCTATAGAAATTTTAGTGAAAAGAAGACTTGGAGAGCAAGACACACATCAGACGTCAGAAGTCACTTACAGATGCTAATAAATTGTTTCTGCAAATTTTTAATGTCATTATTGTAATAATTAGGGACGAAGTAGGTATCCGGGTTAACTTATTGTCAGCTCAAATTGACACGGTTTCGATTTGGAGCTTTGCTGCGCGTGGGAAAAATCGAGTCAACGACGTCTTGCTGACGTCACTATTCTCTACTTACACCCTCCCCCCCCCCAAAAAAAAAAAAACAGTCTGTGTATATCTTCATCTGCTTATTACAGGGTTGATTTGCGCGTGCGCGCTAAATTATTACACATTTCGCACAAGATAAATATGTTTATTTACCAAAATGATTTTACGAACACATAATATGATGCTTTATACATTTTGGACCGATTTAATACTAGTGGGTTTTCATCTTTAGAGTATAAAATGTTAATTTAGTTCGAATTTTGCAAAGAAAGGCTACTACAAGCCTAAAAATAAATAGTTATACCTAAAAATAATCTAAGTACGACGAAAAACAAACGAAAAAACAAATGCAATCGGCAGTTACAATTCAATCAACTCTGATACTTACAGCTAAGTAAAAAAGTACAAAAACGGTTAATTTTAGCATAGTACTAATAGGTGCTCATGATCAATATTCTCTTGAATTTTCCATTTACAATTAATTTTTTGTGTCATTTTTTTTACGTATAACGTGTGAGGTAAAAATGCCTTATAAATCGTTTTCTTAGGGTACTTGGTCTCCTCATTGCGAATAAAACATTATAAGTGATATGAATGTGACAATGATAATTAAAAAATGCAGTTTGGAGACATGCCATCTTGTTTTTACCCATCACATAGTATCTCATTTTTTTTCAAATCCTGAGGGAGGCAGGTGATTATAATTTTTTAGTCTTGAAAAATGAGGTCAAGGAAAAGGATTTTGGAATAAAGGACTTGGTGCGTTTTCAGACTATAGTTACTGCAAAATAATTGAATTACCAATGCTAAGCCTTTTCTGCCACTCTATAAATAGTCTATACTATCTACATAGAAACATGACTTATCGATTTTTAATATTTCCTAAGAAAGTCTCAGTATACAATGTTTCAAAAATGTTCACCACTGCTGGCGTTGTAAAAACATCGAAACAAACGCTCATATTGTCTTAAAAGAAAATATAACTTAAGAACAATACTATTGTGGCAATTTGCGTTTAGCGGAATTTTTTTACGATAATTATCAATTATCAGGCAGTGACCTGGTGTGACGTTTGCATTAGCGGTTTTTGGAACGTCCGCCGACGAAAATATTATCGTCTCATATTCTTACCAGGAACCCCCCCCCCTCTACTACCAGCAGCAAAATTCATTAATTATGGGTATTAAGGTCGAAAAATATATGTAATTTTAGAAAAAAAACTGCCACACCTAAGAAATTATCCGTAGAACTTTTGGGTAAAATTCCAAAAGCGCGAATATAGATTTGACGTGAATATATTTTCTCTGTACAAGCTGTGGATCCTACTTTACGAGGTTCTGACTGATCTTAGATTTATGCATATTTCTGAAAAAAAAATTTAATGCTCTTTCGCAAAAACAAATAAGTTAGGATACGCGCTTAAACATTTGTTCTCGAAGTGTTCCTAGGTCAGGCAGCCCACACTTAAGACGGGCAACGTTTGTAATGCATTTAAACATTCAGGGCATTTTTTCGGAAAATTGACAATGTTATAAGTTTGAAATCAGTAACATTTTACTTCATTGGCTCAATGGGAGGAGCTGAATTTAAGTAGAGGTGTGGGATAAACTAGCAAAGCAACGAGCACCAAGCTAATTTCATTACAACGCCGAGCTCCACGGATGTCCGTGTTGCATAAGCACGGAGGTTAAGGCGTTTTTTCTCTGTAAGCACTCACACTCCCAATTCACCCGCGGAGTGACAGCGGGTTGTGGCGCGAGAATCCTGAATGACGGAGCCCCTTCAATTCTTAGTTTATACTCAAAAGATATCCGCTGCACACGAATAGATGCAAGCATGCGTACGGATGTGAGTAGGTTTGTGTTTCAGTTCCAATAGTGATGTGCTGAGCATGATTTGTAGAGCAACTATTCGTGCTTAAGAGGTATATCGACGGTGCAAGTCGGCAATCACATAACTCGGTTTGCGACGTCGCAGACTTCCTGTCATACTTTATTTTTTAAATGGAGAACTACTCAACGGCAATTCTTTAAAACTGTCATGATTTTTCTTCTCAATGCGAAGAAAATTCTGCAAAAACTTCAAGAAATAATGTCAATTTGCTCTCCTTTAAAAAAAAATGACGTAGAGGCGGAGATTTTCAGACACCGCAAACGAGTTATATGATTGCCGACTTTCACCGTCGATATTTGTAGCATAAATGAAGAATTGAAGGCCCCTGTTATTTTGGATACTTGCAGCGCAGCTTTGCTCAGTGGCTAAGGCGGTGAGTGTCTGTAGAGCTAAAACGCCTTCACTTCAGTGCGTATGCAAGGAGGACATCAGTGGAGCCCGAAGATTTGTATCCAGCAGCCTGATGGTTGAAATTTTGTGTTTGTCGGGTCGACATAGATGACGTAGGTTATAATGGGGAGCGTGATTGGTCGGCTATGTCTCATCGCTGCTTTGTCGTGCATGTCAGGTTGAACTCACGACAATCTAACGGCACCTCTTTTACGTTTTCGACAGTATGTCGTCCATTCCACCTGGCAAAGGCACGATAAAGCAGCGACAAAGACGTATCCGACCAATCACGCTCCGCCTTTTAACCTATGTCATCTATGTCGACCAGACAAACAAAAAATTTCAACAAACAGGCTGCAGGAGTTATAATGAAATTCGTTAAGTGTTCATCGCATGCAATACTTACTGAGAGTGCTAACGCTGTCTCTCATACACCTCTGCTTAATTTCAGTGTCGCAATTGTACCGATGAAGTAAACTATGATTTACTTACATGTGCGCCACTTCACTGGTTTCAAGAGACTTGAAATGAGAAAATCAGTATTTAATGTAGAATCGTGCTCTTCCTATGAGTTGCGTTTATATTTGAAGAGTAGACATGCAATCAACTGAAATTTCCACACCGATTGCCATCACTAAGCGTCTAAAATATGGTCTGTACCTCAAGGCATTTTTCAATTTATTCGCAGAGGATACTTCACTCATTTTACCCATAGTTAAAAATGAAGTCGCTGGTCTCACGAAAACATGGGTTTCAGATTCCATCCGTTAAAATCTACTTACTATAATACGCAAAAAACTTTAAGATGTCCTGGAAGTAAAAACCAATAATTCATTGAACTTCAGTCAAGATTTTCAGGTGCATTTCATATCGACCATGTTTAAAGGGAAATTTGTAGTAAAAAATATATTTAATTTATTTCTGAAAAATTAGCGTCAGCTTTTAGCAAAATAATGTCAAGATTGATGAGAAAGGTTACCGCTATGCTCGTTTAATGCACTACAACAAATTCTGGTCCCAAATAATTGGAAGAGAGAAACAAAAAAGAGAAAGATTGAGCAGGAAAAGGGTTGCAAGACCCCTTCATCGACTTAAACCTACTCCTTGATCATTTTTAAGCCCTCAACAAAAAAGGAGAAATCTTGCTAATAGGTCATATATACCTAAAATATATCGGTAATCACTTTCAGGACATTTGGTGAAGCCACAGATTTTAAGGAGCGATAAAGAACAAAACGACCAAACTGGGTAGTTATCCTTACCTTGATACGCACATGGTGCAAACTGTACGAAGAGGACTATAAATGTTTAATTTTCATTTTTTCCCTAACTTTTAGGAAATAACTACATTTTAGGACCTAAAATTATAGAGTCGCAACGTGCTGGATAGCCAATGGTGTCACTTTTGAGACTGTTTTGTCCAGTACTCCTGAGAGTAGTGTGCGGCGACTGGCAATGTTGTATGCGCAAGGTCCCAGCTCCGCTCTTCGCTCAGGAAATGAATGTATCTAACAAAATTGTATTTAATAAAAACCAGGAGTTTCGTCCATTTTCAAAATTTCGTACGACTTGGTCAACACGTTGTTCCAAAATTCGCGGAAATGATTATCTACTTAAATTGATACATCTCAAGAACGGCCCGCGATTCTTCAAGTAGCGGCCGCACAGTGAATCGAGTCAATAGGAGAGATCGGACAAAATTTGCAAACTTTAAAAGCTCATAACACCGTTTATACAAAATGTTGGGGTTTTGAAAGTGGTTCAATTGGTTTCATCGTAAAATAATCTTCTACAAACACCCCTGAAAATTTAAAATGTGACGAAATAAACATCAAAATTTGCAGTTTTAGTCAAAAAGTATACGTCCAACCTCTCTGATTTGACTCGATACACTGTGCGCAGTGTTAAAAATGTCGTATGGTCCCCGATTTTTGGCAAACGAGAGGCCAGAAATGTATCGTTCTAGGATCGACATTATTTGCGTTCCAGCACTTTGCGACTCCATAGCACTCTACGGCTAAAATATAGCCACTCCGAAGCACTATCTTATGTCACGTTCATGCTTAGGTTATTTACAATTAAGTGAAATGCGATTATTTACAAGGAGGTCCATCATTATTGATAACATGGTTGGGCTTGCAGATCTTTGTCCGGCCGTTCGACCCGTTGATGATGGAACACGTGAAAGTGAAGTACCCGCAGGTCGAGGACTTGGTGTAGTAAGTATGAGCATATTTATTCGCAGCATCACTTTCCGCCGTCTTGCCTTTCAACTGCCCCGTTTCGCTTTTCGTGACCGTTACGAAAGTATCTCCTCTTAGGTCGTTAGGGCTGGATTTCTGATCGTCCTTACCCGCTGTAGAGTACCGACTGAAGTACCGCGGCTGCACATAGCTACTTCTGTCGTACACTTTTTTTACGCCACTCTTATCAACGACAGTTACATTTCCATTTGTTCCCCTGGACACAACTACAGTCTGGGATTGTGCTTGGCTACCAGGCGAAGCTGTAGCTAAAGTCTTGGTGCCCGCTGCAGAGGCGACTTTGTTCCCGTAGCCTTGAGCAACATCATTAGGTCTCGGAAAGGGTGCTTGAGACCTTTCATTCTTCCCATCGTCGGATGCCCTTATGATATGTGTATCATGATTTCCGTTTAATGTAAGTACGACGTTTTGTGACTGAGTCTGAGTTTGGGTGGAATTCGGACGAGATGTAGGACCGGGCAGCAACGAGCTCCTGTTTTTAAACTCTTCGCTCTTGGTCGCACCTTTCAGTAGACGGAAATCGGCCTCATCTCCCAAGTCATTATCGATATCATCAATTTCTTCGTCATATACGTCCTCTTTTTCTTCAGAGTATTCATCGTCGGCCTCTTTGCCCAGGGGTATTTTGGACGGAGGGATAAATAATTTAGTTTTAGTGGATTTAGATGGGGCCTCCGTTGTAGGTTGCGAAGGTTTTGGGGTGACAGGTTTTAAGGGCTGCACAGAAGAGCGGGTTGAACTTTCAACCGGTTCTAGCTGGTTAACGTCAATTTCCGTCACGTTCGGTTTTACAATCGTTTGGAATTTATCGTGACTTGACTCTTGAGCGTTCGAATCGATGGGTGGACTCGAGATGCTCTGAGGCGTTGGCGTCGCTGAGATTTCAGGCACCACGTAGCTTGCATTGAACGGAATAGGTTTCAAGTTATTAGCTGAAGGCCCTGTGCCTGCTTGAGCTGCACCGGTATAGGAAATTCCGAACTTGAACGAGCCTTGAATTTGGGTTTGAGATTGCCCTGAGTGTTTATTTGTTTGAGAGGACGCTGCACCACCTCCTTTAAATGGTGATGTTTGATTGTTGGTCGCCGAGCTATTCTGATACGGTGAGAATCCGATTTGAGCCTGACTAGACGTGCTGCCTTGTCCTTTGGCCTGAGCATCAGCCATCCCACCTCGAATACCTGCTTGAACTTGAGTATTTGTACCATAGTTGAACCCGCTGCTCTGAGTCTCCGCCAAAGTGGCACCTGTTTCACCGTTGACGGTAACTTGGGATTGTGTTTGCCCCTTCCCGGCTGTGCCTTGTGCTAAGCTCGTAGTTCCGTTTGCTCCACCGGTAATTTGGCTATTGGCTCGTTTCAAATCGTCGCCGGTTTGAGCTTGTGCCGAAAAAGCTCCGGTCCCGGCGTATGATCCGGATACTTGAGCCTGAGCCACTTCATTCCTTACCTTCCCTTGAGACGAAGCCAAAGCTTTGGTATTGTTACCTTCGACGAAAACGCTTGTCTCAGCCTGAGCATCTCCCGTGACATTCTCGTGCCGATAATCAATCCTGTCTTCGGAGGTACCTACGTTCGTACCAGGACCATGAATGACAGTTCCATTTGGATAAACAACTGTCCCATTCTGAAGGATCGCGGGACCTGTAGATGTAGTTCCAGGTATGCTTGCAGACTCCGACCCCCCGGTAACTGCAGGTGGAGCGCTGCCTCCAGGAATACCAGGAATGGCTGGTTGTCCCGGAGAATATCCTGGTTGGGCTGTGCCAGGTCTAAGGGGACCTCCCGACAGATAACCTCCCTGATTTGAAGTGACGTCCGACGATCCGACCTGTCCGGTGGATATGGTCCCTTGACTTGGCAGCCCTGGTTGTCCTGGAGAAACACCTGAAGACGTGACTTGACCCGGAAGAAACGAAGTCTGACCCGGTAGGTATCCTGGCTGGCCTGGAGATTGAACAGGCATGTAGCCACCACTTCCTGTAGGGCCGGTAGCTGGTATTGTGCCTGGTTGACCTGGAGCATAGATGGATTTACCTGGCACAGAACCATCGTATCCAGCCTGTCCGGGCGAGAGACTTGACTGACCTGGATGAAAAACAGTCTGCCCTGGATACGGCCCGTCTTGTCGTGGTGTGAAACCTGATTGGCCTGGGATGAATATCGGCTGTCCTGGAGAAGATCCACCTTGTGGAGGTGTGTAGTTTGTTTGTCCAGGTATGAAACCACTTTGTCCGGGAGGTCCAACACCTGGTGCGTAACCTTGTCCAGGGATAACGCTCGTCTGGCCTGGAATGGAACCAGTTTGAGTCGGTGAGTATCCTGGAATAACACCTCCGGGCTGCACAGGGCCGCCGATTTGCCCGAGAGTGTAGCCAGTCTGTCCAGGATGAAGTCCAGCTTGCCCTGGATACTGGCCTGCTTGACCTAGTACACTAGATTGCCCTGTTGTTGAAACTGTTGATCCAGCCTGTCCAGGAGCAAAACCTGGAATAGCAGCCGCAGAACCACTTGATCCTGGTATGAAGCTACCTTGCCCTGTCGGTGAAATATTTTGTCCTGGCTGATAACCTGCAACTCCCGAGGTCACGCCTGTGCTTCCAACCGTTCCAATTTGTCCACCTCCGTAACCCTGCTGACTTGGAACATAGCCTGCTTGTCCTGGTAGGATACCCGTTTGTCCTGGTAGGATACCTGTTTGTCCTGGTAGGATACCTGTTTGTCCTGGTAAGATTCCTCCTTGTCCTGATGGGAAACCTGTTTGTCCTGATGGATAACCTGTTTGTCCAGATGGGAAACCTGTTAGTCCCGGAACGAGTCCACCTGAGCTTGGTGTGACCACCAGTCCGGGTACGCTGCCAATTTGTCCGGGATGGTATCCTCCTTGGCCTGGGAAAGAATCAACTCTTCCCGGAGCATATCCCGTCGGACTTGGTAATAAGCCTTGGCCTGAAGTAGCACGCGTTTGTCCTGGCACTTGCCCATCCAGTCCTGGAAACAGTGAGGTCTGTCCAGGGCGTGAGGGTCCAGTCGGTCCTATTCCTGTGGTATCATATCCTCCCTGTCCTGGTCTAAAACCTGGCAGTGGCGCTGAGATACCAGAATCTTGGCCGGGAATAATTTGATGCGGGTACTGAGAAGGGCCCGATCCCCCTTGACTAATCCAGGTTTGTTGAGAAGGATTGAATTGATTCACTATTCCTATTTGTTGTCCTGGATATCCGACCGGCCCACTGCCTGTTGAAGTATATCCTGGATGCACACCAAATTGGGGACCTGAAAGCTGACTTGGATAGCCTGCTTGACCGCTTGGATAACCCACTTGGCCGTGGAGATCTCTCTCAGCTCCCGGCAAAATTTGTCCTGTTGCACCCGAAGGGATACCTGGGAGCCCTGCTTGGCCGGGCACTGTCACTAAAGATCCTGGGTAGCCTGTCTGTACTTGTGTACCAGTCTGGCTAGGAGGATAACCTCCAGGTACGGTACCTACACCTGAATATTCTGGAAAACCTCTTTGGCTTGAGGGATATCCGATCGAAGGGAAAGTTCCACCTCCTGGATACGAGGACTGACCGGGAGTATGTAAACCTCCCAATGATGTGCCTTGCCCAGTTGTATACCCTCTTTGTCCATCGTCCGGGTAAGAAACTCCTTGGCCACTCGGATATCCGACCACTCCCAGAAAACGTCCCTTTCCATCGGGTTGCAGAGATTGTGACTGGGTCCCGGGGAAGCCACCTTGGCTGGAAGGATAGCTACCTCCAATCTGCCCGCCAGTATAGCCAGTTTGACCCTGAGAATAAATATCCTGATCTGGCGTTCTCACGGAGCCACTTGGATATTGGGTTTGACCCGGGTCTTGTGCCCCTCCACCAGGATAGCCTATTTGCCCTGGAATAGAGGGGCCCCCGGTGAAAGTTCCAGGCTGAATAGATTTCGTTCCTTGACTAAAACCTGGGACAAAACTCGGAACACCGGGATATCTGGTTCCTCCTCCAGGAATTCCAACTTGTCCGGGTTGTGAAAATTGACCTCCAGGATATCCAGTAATCTGAGGACTCGTCCCAACGCCACTTGGAACTCCGACTTGTCCCGGAAGTAATATTTGACCACCAGATGCTCCAGTTGAACCACTTGGGTATCCAGGAATTTGCGGAGACGTCCCAACAGTACCTGGAATTACACCTTGCCCAGGAAGTATTGTTTGACCACCAGGAGTGCCAACCGGACCACCAGGATACCCAGTAATCTGCGGAGACGTTCCAACACTCCCTGGAACTGCACCTTGCCCGGGAAGTATTGTTTGACCACCCGGAGTGCCAGCCGGACCACCAGGGTACCTAGTAATTTGCGGAGACGTCCCAACACTCCCTGGGATTGCACCTTGCCCGGGAAGTATCGTTTGACCACCAGGATACCCAGTAATCTGTGGAGACGTCCCAACACTCCCTGGAATTGCACCTTGCCCGGGTAGTATCGTTTGACCACCGGGATATCCAGTAATCTGTGGAGACGTCCCAATACTCCCTGGAACTGTTACTTGTCCTGGAAACGATGTTTGACGACCAGGAGCTTCACCCGGACCACCAGGATATCCAGTTATCTGAGTAGTGGTCCCAACACCTCCTACACCTCCAGTTTGTCCTGGAATTGTAGCCGAACCACCAGGGTATCCAGAGCCACCAGGACCGCCGGGTAGACCACTTGGATATCCTGGAATCTGGAGAGGCGCTCCAACAGTTCCTGGAGATCCAATTTGTCCCGGCCGTGCCGTCTGAGCTCCAGGATAATCAGGTGTTTGGTCTGGTATTCCATGATGTACGCCGGGAGTTCCCGATTGCTTACTAGAATCAGATACCCCAGCTCGACCGTCGTTCAGATTTGTGCCTGGTTTGACGCTTCCCCTTCCCCCTCTCTGATCTGTGGGTGAATTGCAATAATCACAGTCATCGCCGGAGGCAGATTGACTCTGCGCCTGACCCATACCTTGAGTACCGCCTATAACGCAAAAAAAGCATCTATTACTTGGAAGTTGAATTCAGGCTGTTTAAAGTGTTTACATTCACTTTGCCATCGCATTGCACTAGCAGGATTTTTCATCAGGTGACTACTTATGAAGCAGGATTAGGTTAACTGCATTTGGACTAAATTTCGCAATTTGAAGCTAAAAATTCTAGCCCGGTTTAAAAACAACGTATAAGCCATTAGTTTCCCTATGCCTATACGTGTTTCTTCAGCTGAGCCAGAAACTTGAGTTCCTAATTGCAAAATGCAGTCCATTTAATCTCGCACTGTTGCCTTTCAGATATTATTTGTTTAACCAAAACGTAAAGTCAATATTCAACAAATTAGGCAATAAAATGCGGGCAGCGGCAAGAAATTTTCTTATCTTCTTTATTAATTTTGGGAAATACTCATATTTCTACAATGACACTAGGAAGCATTTCAATGAACGCGCTATAATGCTTTACATCCTGCATCACTACTAGTCCCTGGTAAAAATTGGCAGTAGAATCTGTGTTCCAAAATAAGATAGACCTACAGGCAGCTGTAAGATTTCATGGCTTCTATAGCCGGCTACACAATTTCTTGTAGCCTTTTATAGCGCAACTAAGCAACAGCCAGGCGATAAAGTGTATGCTAAACGTTACTAATTACGGATGCTAGGACTTAGTGAGTTTTTGGACTACTGCTCTCTTTTTGGGTCGTAGTATCTTGATTTATTTTGCGAAGAAAGCTTCGTACTTTTGATGGATGCCTGTCATTCCTAATTTATTAGAGCGCCTTCAGTTTCGTATGATTCTGTGCAATACTTCTAGTGTGAAATAGTTGCTTCAAGCGCCGTGGCACACTGCGGCGCGGCAGGCGGGCAGCCAGTGCGTCGCCGCTCCGCTTTGCGTTAGGCTCTAATATTCAATCTGGCGGAGTCAGCGTTATTCAACTCATGATTTTGAAATGTTTGCACATTCTGTGTGGATTATTCTCATTTTAATTGATGAAAAAAAAAGTATGTATTAAAGGAAAATATAATGTGTGTTTTGTAAATATGAAGGTGGTTCCGTATCAAACTTGATGATTTCTAATGATCTACTCAATGATTTCTAAGGCACACGAATTTCTCCACAATTTCTTTTGGCCTTTTGTAATCGATGGCGAAAAAGCAAGCCTTGAGGCAATCCGGCAGACATGAGTAAATCTCCAGAATTTTTCTTAGCACCTTTTACTTGTGCCACGTCTGTTAGTTTCCCAAATTACACCAAAATTGAAAATTAAAATAAGCCAGACACTTACTGACAGTAGCTCTTGACATATCTGGCTGAGCGATCGCTTCAGCAGTTCCGCTATTTGTGCCATCTTTGCCCCCGCCAAAAGCTATGAACTGGGTCTGTACTTGGCCTCTGTACCGCGACTTCCGGTCCGTTTCCCGTTTAGTCCTCCGTTTGATACGGCTCTTCGTCTCGGAATGGACCGAGGCAGCGTCCACACTATCCTCGTTGAGAATCAGAACCTCGCCGGAGCTAGTTAGAGAACGCTGCTTCCGTAATATTGGATCGTCGGGTTGAATCCTCGACTGATGGCTGGAGGATAGGAGGTGATGGCTCGGTGAGTTGGGCACTGGCGGTCTGGAGTGGAGAAGCTTGATTTGCATCCCGTCGCAAAATTCAACGATTTTGGGGCCCCATAGCTGTCTCGCCTGGAACCGGAAATGAGAGAGAAAAATTATCTAAGTATAATTCTAATTGAAACTAGGATCAGAAAGACACGGAACCATTTTTTTCAACTTTAAGAGAACATTAAAAAAACTGTCCTCGCATGCGATGAATCTACCGGAGGTAAAGCTCAAGTTTCAACAGAGGACCTGCGTGATTAGACCTGACAGTATTAAAAGTCAAAGCCGAAATAATGGAGAATTTATGCAAAAAAAATTGTATCGCTTCATTTGAGATTGCATAGTGAGATAAGTGTGCGATATCTTCCATGACCTTTTTCTGACATCTCGGCAAATAGTAAAGAAATACAGTTCAAAATTGAAATAAAATTGAATTCAAAAAAGGATGAAAAAAATTAAATAAAAAGCTCCCATTGAACTGGTGCAAGAGACAAACAGAGGTTATTATTTAATTCAGAAGTCCAAAATACACAGGAAAATATAAGTGCCAGCTTGTGACATCATCAGGGGACACTTATCATGTAAACACATATCGACGGTGTAAGTCGGCCATCACATAACTCGGTTTGCGACGTCGTAGACTTCCTGTCATACTTCATTTTTTAAACGGAAAACTACTCAACAGAAATTCTTTAAAACTGCCTTGATTTTTTTTCTCTGTGCGAAGAAAATTCTGCAAAAATGTGAAGGAATAATGTCAATTTGTTCTCCTTTAAAAAAATAACATAGAGGCGGAGATTTTCAAACACCGCAAACGAGATA